TTAGGAAAAAAAAGTTGTTCAGTTTCCAGCATAGATTTAATGACACAAAGAAAAATCTGTCTAGAAATAATTACATGGACAAGTCATAAATTAGCAGTCATGACAATTCTCAGCACATGCTACAAAAAAAGAATACAGTTACACAGGGAAATGTATGGTTGCACCAAGTGAGTGCTTCTAATTTCAACTAAATGCTTCTGCATCTATAATCCACAACAGGAAAATGAACCAACAACCCTCAAAGTAATCAGTCACTCCCAGTGCTTTCACTCTGGATTTTTATGTGGACTGGTCTAAAACCCAGGTGTCTGAAATTATGCCCTTCATTTCCCTGGTTTTATTTGGAGAGGTATTAAAGTCCTACTAGTCTCATTGACATTTCTGTTAACTTGGAGAATAAAACAGACTTTTTCATAGAAATTAGGTAGGCACATATGGGAAAAACATCCTAGGGAATGTATTATTACTGGCGTTGGCAATTAAATGTGAAATGCTGCAAAACTCTATCATTGGAATTATTCATTATAATATAGTATTGAAGACATGGAAATGCTGATTAGAAAGTATACAGAAATAAATTAATACATAACTTTTAAATAATTCATCATATGTAGTCTGGACCATTTTACACTCAGTTAAAGGATAAAAAAATAAAGAGGATACAATCACTCCACTTTGAATGATGTCTTCTGCTGCTATAGAAGGAGACACCATTTGTAATGGACTTTGCCACATCCTTGCATGGAGATGGGACACAGCATGTAAGGACAGACTGAGGCAGCACAGCACCTCAGAATGGTGGGATAGTTAGTAAGAATATATGGGGATTTAAAGATTTGAACCTTGTTCCATCTAGAATGCTCTGTCTACAAGTGAAGGGTGATATATCACTGAAAGATACAGTTTTTCATAAAGCCAACATGCAATCAGTTGACCTTATTTTGATATATTTCTAGTGCTTTATTGCTCTTTTCCTTTGAACAAATCTTGAAGAAAACAAGATCTATGGTAAGAGCTTGGGGATAGTAGGGCTCAAGAGAATGAGACAGTTTGATTTCTTGACAAAAAAGCTTAAGAATATCACCAGGGAAGGGAAGGGGAGCCTTCCATGTTACATGTGAGTTAAACAAATCAGCCACATACATCTGGTAAGTTAGTGTCAGTCTTCTTTACTGCATCAGAAATACAGTACTCCTAGCAAGCTCAAACTCTTCTTTAGATAGTCTCTGTTGAGGCTGTGACTACTTTCAACTTGCTCTTTTCTTGCAAGCTGGGTGTCTCCTTCTTTGCCCAGTTTAATATTCTCAGTCTCAGTACAGTTCAGTATTGTTTAACTGAAGTCAAGTTCCCCTAAAACCTGTAAATTTCCTTTTTTAAATATTTACAAACTCATTCTGCAAACATGACATTTTTTCAGCTTAACATGATATCATCACATTGTAATTAAAACCTGAAAAAAGCTGTAATTCCATAAAGAAATGTGATATAAATTTTTAATAGTAATGATCTGCAGAAATGGACTTTAGTATTGAACCTTTAAATGGATGTCTGAAAATGTAAGAAAATATTAGATTTGTTGTTCCACATAGTGTTATATTACTTGGAAAAACTTACACAAGTCTATTAGCTGTCTAGCTTAGAAGTGCCATTTTCTTGCATTTTACTGGCATATTTTTACCTTTCCCATCATTAAACATGTCGTGTCCTTGTCTCACAGTATTGTTAGAACAGAACTCCAGAAACACAGGCTTGCACTTCCTCAGGTACTGTTGAAAGTGAATGTACAGGCTAAACAGAAATATATGCAACAATATCTAAATATAAGCCATTAGCCTGATTAGAAATACTCAGTTCTTTTAGAAGCACCAGGCTTCAACTCCAATATGTGTGGAGCTGCAAGAGATTGGATCCTCTTCATTGTAGCTTGTTAGCTCAAGTTCACAAGCATTAGGACACCTACAGCTTTTGGCATCATGAAAGGGATCAGCATCAGGGTTAAATAAGGACTCAGTCAAGTAGTCTATTGATAATGTCACACATCTGTCACATACCTCATCACCACAGCGCTCTCTCATTTGTTCTGCAGTAACACATAATCAAATCATCATACCGGGTCACTCTAAAAGCTTAATTCCATGCAGGCACAGTTTTCAAAGGCCATTATGCTGTCACTGAGCAAGTGCCATTAACATCAAAGATAGTACTAAGCCAAAACCCCATCATAGGCTAGGGCCCGCTGATAAGACAAGTGTCAAAAAAAAAGCTCTGAACTGAGAAACTTAAAGTCTAAATAAACAGAAGCCCACCTTCACTTGAAAGCAATTTAAACTGTTAGATGATGGCTGTTTATCACAAGCAAGAAAGGACAGCGCAGCACAGTAAGTGCAGCATGTATTGCACTTTACACTGGCCCTGAGGAGGCACAGGCCACTCTGTGCTGTTGTCCCCTGTGTGTTGTCCCAGCTGATGAGGGCAAAAGGAGTCAGAGATCAGCAGAAAGATGAAAATAGCAAAATTATGTTTATGGAGAATAACAGACAGAAGTTAAACTACAAACTTGGACTTATTGTTAGATATGTGTTGCTTCTTGGTCAAAATACAAACACGTACTTTGCTACTTTGGCTTTCTTTTTTACCCCAAGTTCCTTGCAATGTTCATGGGGAACATTCACAAATCTCCTTGCATAAAGCACCACAGTGCCCATCCTTGAGACTCCGCTTTTTGCTATTCAATCTCCAGCATATACAATCTGAATTTACTTGTCAGCTTGGAATGCTGGATTCTTAAACTGTGGAGAAGAAGTACTCCCCAAGTTGAGCAGGATACTCACAGCATCTCAGTATTTGTCTCTTATCCTACCAGCTTCCGTATGCTTTTTGTTTTTTTAAAAGCAAACAGACAATCAACCCACCACCAAAACCCCATATGCCTCTCACAACTAGGACATGCATTTTAGTAGAAAGCTCAGCCAATGGGTCACTTTCTGGTATTCCAAAACTACAATGAACTTTTCTAAATTCAAATGACGAGTTTTAACCTGAAAAAAAAAAAAAAAACCACAACGGATAAATATTTCAGTTATTAACAGAACAAAATATTTTAATGTCTTTTGGAACACCAGTTGCACTGAGTACCTTCTCATAAAATTTCTGATAATTGTTCTTTTCTTTTCCTCCTCTGCTGTGTGTGAACACACATCATAATATTTTCAACCTTTGTTTTACATCAGTCCCTAGTCAAAAAAGCAATTTTCCACTGCAGCCTCATTTGCACATATCCATAATTTAAGGACAAAGTGTGTATGTGTTCCTAATTATCTCCAAAGGATGTTTGATGAACCTGTGAAAATTAAGGAAAAAAAACCCCAACTAGTCACGTGGCTGTGAGAAAAGTGCACCAAAACTAAATCACCAAATATCTTAACACTGCATTTTAGTATCATCAGACAATAAAATATAGAACGTTCAAGACTAGATCTTGTTAATGCTTACAAGTTCAGAAAAAAATAAATCTAATGTAAAGACTTCCTTTTTTTCTTTGGTGCTGCTTAGTTTCTCTGGACAAGTTTGCTTTTCATTAAAAGTTGTTTTAAATATTTGAGTTAAATAATGTAAAAGTAGTAAACTTTTTTTAAAAAAGGAAAGCCTGAAGAAGAAAGCTTTCAAAGAAAAAAATGTCTTCTGCTGCAGATTTCTTCAGATTGCTTTCAGAATTTCCTGAAAGAGGCATTGTCAAGAGAAATTATTTTTTTAAAATATAATTATTTTAATATGAGAAAATCACAGCATGGGTGAGGTCAAACCTCCCAAAATAATGGAGAAGAAATTTGAAGAGCAAAATTTTGTTTCTACAACAAAAGGAGTAGGATCCCATCCAGATTATCTGGAGATGGTTGTACTCAGTGCTTACTGGGACCCCATGAACAGCAACAGCACCTTGAGTACACTGCTATCCCTCGCATGCACTGGCCCTCTCACATATTGTTCAAAGACTGCGTACAAAATGGTCTTTAATGAAAAACTGAAATGATATGTTCAAGACACTGCAGAGCAGTAAAATTCAGCATTAGAACAGAACCAAAAGAATATTGCATAATGAATACACTGAATACTTTAAAAAGAGCTGTTCTATTACTAGCACCGAGACTAAGATTTGGCTGCAGGTTTTTTACCGCAATACATTTGGGAGCAAACCATCCAGGGAGTTTTTCCAGCATCTGGCTGGCATTACTGCTTGAAATTACTCAATGGGTCCTCCCCCATGCTGTCTCAGAACAAACTACATAGAATCATCAAGGCTCTGTCTCTGCACTTCACTGTGAGCTGGTAAACAGCTAAAGCTCATTTCATGTACCAGCAACATGCAGAATGAATTTTTCCAGCTATACTGCAATTAGTCCTCCAGCTATTTTAAGTCAAATTATTTAGGGAGGAGAATTACTGGAAATTAAATCCAATACCAAAGCCACTACATACTCCAAGAACACCACAAAAAATACATTGTATTAAATTTTAGGTTGTGCTAATCTGTTTGATTCACTGTGGCCAATGTATTTAAAAACAGAGGAGGAGAAGAGAACCATAGAGGAGAAGAAACATAAAAGCCAGTACTATGTGTGAGATGTAGAACAAGCTCATTCTATAGCCTCAAGTCCTCTTTTAGAGGGATATGATATGAGCAAATGCTCAGAGATGATACATTATATTTTCCCAGTGCAAAATGTGGTCTGAAAGAGAATGAAGTCTATGTCAGGAAGAACTAGGTAGTGTATTGCATACTGTTTAAATACACAGTTCTGACAACATCTTTGAAGTCACTCTATAAAGACACACAAATAACATATGCATCTTTCATCTCAAAAAGTCCTGATAATGACCATAACACTGCTTACTATTAAAAATTTTGACTAGATAATGTCTGTAAAATCCCTCAAATAAAATGTTTGCAAAGACCAAGGGAAGCAAGGGCTGTCAGTGATAGCCCTCTGCCTTGCTTACAGATGAACTCCTGAAAGAAACACCTTTCCCACTGAATTCCACTTCTGTTATGGAGCCATTTTCCTTCTCAAGCTGGTTAAATGATCATCGTGGTGAAATAAAACAGAAAAAATCCTTGAGTATGTTTGGAGATAACTTTGAAACAGAGGTAAGGGGGTATCATTTCTCTATAAAAAAAATTTTTTTTTGAAGGTATGGATAATTGGTGCCTACTGTTCAGAATGAATGAATCCAGGCCTGGGATCAATATATAGTCAGCAGACAAAGTTATGCACCCCAACAGAAGTACCTGTCTTTGGTCCATTGATTTGACTAGCTTAGGGCAGGGGCTTTCTAGCTCATTACTACCATGTCCAGAACCAACCTGAAATTTATTTCTGTTAATTTCCTTTGGGATTAAAATAGCTCATTCATTCCCCTGTCCCTCTCACCATATTTCCCAAATCAGATGCACCAGTGTGATGCAAATCAAGTGCTTGAGCAGCATTCGTGATTCAAGTCTAATCTGGGTGTGGAAACACACTTTTTTTTCTCCTCCTCCATCTACATAAAGTGGAAACAAGGAAAACTGGACAGCAACCAGGGAGCCTGGGCTGCCCTAAAACATTCCACTACACAGTTTATTCAAACACAGTCTAGTTTGGGTGTAAATGAAGCTGTCAACATTTGATATCTGTGCTGTATGTGTGATGTTTACAAAACATATTCTTCCCCAGAATTACTTGCAGTCACACTCCAAAGAATTCAATACAGTTGGCAGAAAGTGACAGAGTGTGGGAATGTCAGGAAGAACACAGAGGGGTCAGAAAATGAGAAAGATGAAGTCCTGTCTGCAGCATTTTTAATGTTAATGGAAGAAACTTTTCTGCTTCAACAGGCTCTTTACAGGGCCCAGAGTTCATGAGGAGGAAGTTCCTGTTCCAGGAACAGAAGCAGGAAGCATATAGATGCAAAACTGAGAGTGGGAGGAGGCAGAAGGAGTAGATAAGAGAGGATGCAGAGGAGCATAAGGAGTGGCAGGTGTGACCAGTTCTCTTTTTATCAGTAGGAATCAATATGAGATTACCAAACATAGTGTGAATTTTAATGTCTGTAAAAATAACATCATCTTCTATGAATATTCTCCTGTAAAAATAGAACGTTTTAAATGCTGTTGGGAGATGAATATGGACACTTTGGTCACTTGGATGAAACCTTTTTTTTTTTTTTTTTAGGCTATAGCTTATGGACCAGGAACAACTGAGAAAAGTAAAAAGAATTCAGATATCTGGATATGGCAACTGGTATGTGGCAATTCACACTTGTTAACTGATGAGTTCATGTTTAAGTTCAGACTCAATAGTAGTAAAGCCTTCTAGCAACAGAAACTGGAATGATTCCCTTCCTTCTCATAGAAGAGATCACCAATAGGCACCACCTTTCAGCTTTAAACTGTAATGAAAAATAACTGTAAAGTGCTGCCACAATAAAAATAGCCTCTTTTTCCCTCATCATGTATGTTGATGACAGAAATACTGGCATCCATCCTTGTTGGGAATTTTCATGCACACTACCTAGGCTATATCCTGTAAATATATCAGATCAAGCAATAAAGCAACATCACCTCAGTTCTGCCTTGAAACATTTGCCCTCATCCTGAAGTCAAACTGGAATCAAGTAGAATCAGGTAATAAAAAAATCTGAAAACTTGTTTATACTAAATTAGAATTGTAGGTGATCCAGACATCCTTCATTCAGTTTGCTTCTAGGATACATTTGCAACCCAAAGAAAAAGAAAAGCTGATTTTTGCTTACACAAGTCAGGCTAGCTTGGGAGGCAGATATTTCTATTAGCTCCTCTTCTGTTGAAATTCATAGGGACTATCAAATACTAATTAAAGAAATCATAGTCTTGAAGGACATTTGTTTACACTGCAGCTTACATCAACCTGTGGAATCAAGAGCTTGTGGCTGGCAAGAACCTGTCTCCCCTGCTTGACAAGATAATAACTAGTGCATTCCAATATGGAGGAACTCAGCAATTTCAGTCAGCCCCCTGCTGACTTGTGAATTGCTCCTCAAGACTTAAAGAGCTATGAGGAATCAGAAAAGTAGAAGAGGAGTTTAAACTACTCCAGAAGATTCTCTCTACAATTTCTGGAGCTGTTCCAACTTGTAGACTGCTAGGTTAGATTGGTGGCAGTGTACTCCAAGAATCAGGCAATTGGTTGCTGCTTTATGATACGAAACAATGAACAATGAACCATATTTTTATTGATGGTAATAGTGTTAGACAGACATGATCAACTGAATATTTAGCTAGAACTCATGAAACAGAACAGGTTTGAGGTGTTCTTTCAGTAGGAAAGACTTCTGTACATGCAGCATTTTCTTTCTGCTGGGGACAGGACATGGAAAATGAAAAGCCTTCTTTCCTTTCAGGAGGGCACATCGACTGTTGCCATGGATGGTAAAACCCTGACTCTCTCTGCTGGTGACAGCCTGCTTGTTCATGCCCAGTCTGAGTGAGTAGAGATGAACAGGGGATCAGTGCGTATTCCCCAGCTTCCAGCAACATAAATTCTGTGTATTCAATGCACACCATGTTGGGCATCACTGGTGCAGAAACACTGCATCTGTGAGTGCAGGATTTGCAATAGCCTCTGTTATTTCTCAGGGCAAAAGTGTTTTCAGGAGGAAAAGCCAGACATTCATTCTAGTTCACCTCTTATGATAAAAGCTGGACAAAATAAAATAAACAAAAAGAAAAAATAAATAAAAATAAAATTAAAAAAAAAAGAACCACCACCAGGAAAATGCAGCATGCAAAAGACCATGCATAATGATATAGGGCCTGAAACTACCCACTGGTACTCACAGCAGATGCTCCAAGCATCAGACCAGGCTTAATGAACATCAATGCATGAAAATTTGGGGTTCAGGCTAAGAACACAGCTCTCTTCCTGAAGCAGGATGCATACAGCTATTTCATAACCTTGACACGTGATACACATAAAGGAAAATAGCTTCCAGAGAGAAAAGAAAGGAAGAGATAGAGCATGGCTAAAGCTGATAAAGTGCCCACTCCTCCTTTTCAATATCATCCATGATTCATTTGTTGGTTTGAGTCTGTGATTTCCCTCTATACATACTCTCATCTTTCTTTTTTCATCATCTCTCTTTCAATTCTTCCAGGTACTGCTGGAAAAGAGCGGAAGATTGTGTTGCTCTCTGCATTGCTCAGGATCCAAAACGCAAGCAGCCTTATAAATAACTCCTGTGTCAGCTGGCTTTGAGGACAACCAAGTTTTAACCTACCTATCTTAATTATCTTTTACTCAGAATACCTGGAAATTTGAATACTCTAACATAATGATTAAGTGGAGTCAAGTGCTGTACCCAATTAAAACTTTTTTCCCCAAGTAGTTAAAGTTTTAGCAAAATTCATAATCAGTATTTTTAAGATCTAGCATTTTGTTTTATTTTATCTGAAAGGAAATGACCATATATCCAAGTAGCAGGATTACTTACCTAATAATACATGATACTATCTAGATTAAATTAGAGTTTTTTGAAATGCAAGTCTCTGCCACAAGATGTAGAAAAGGAGATGGGACAGATACTGTTACACTACTTAGGTAACAGGCTGGATGCTGTGTGCACACTACACTGAAGGTAACACTGCAATGGGACTAAACAGGAGCACCTGGGTCATGGGTGTGCTCCTGTGCAGCAGAATGTTAAAGGGTAAGAGAGCAAAAAAATTATTATAATCCGTTTCTATTAACTGCTGCTTCTTTTTGAACAATGAAGTTTCTTGCAGAAATGATAAGTGTCAAATTATATTTTGCTGCTGTTATTCCAAAAACTCTGCAGAAGGGTTTTGTTTGGGTTTTGGTTTTATTTAATTGTTCTTCACACTGTCAACATCAGAAAACAGGTTGCTTAGATACCTGCAGGTATTATCAATTAAATATTTGAGAAAGAAAAAGTTACTGATTCCTGATTTTTTTAAAATTCTAATTAAGTTGAGAAAAATATTTGTTTCATCTATCACCTATAAAGCTCATTAAACTGAGATGTCATATGTGTTTTATTTAAGTGTTCATTCTTCTCATGAGAAAGACACAGATGCCTTGGCTTTATCTATAACCTATCTTTAACTTCAGCAGATTTTCTAGCAAAACCTACAGCAAAACTCTGCTACATCCTCCTAATAACAGGGGGCCTAATTTGCAAAACTGAATCCAGTTCTTAAGGGTGTTATAAGTGTGAGCTGCCACACACAAAAAGGGAACAAGGGAGTAATTTTTTCTGATTACTGTTGGTACTGGTGTGTTTATGTGTCTGCAGAACTGACTACTCGAGTGAACATCTATGATTGAGGGATCTAGGTCACCAAAAAGTGTTATATTTTTAGTCCAGCAGTTACAGGGTAATCACAGCAATATTTCCATATTTCACACTGAATGATAAGTGAGTAAAACATGGCAACATGTAGAACAGCATCCAGAATAACCAGCAGCTTTTCATCCACCCAGAGCCATGGAACTTTCAGAATAAAAATTAAGGCATCTCCAGATTAGATATCTCCCGTGATATCCACTCAAATTATACTTGTGATGCCTTTTACAACAACTTGTGCTTGAACACCTAAATTCTATCCAAGTCGCACGCTAGGCGCCAGACCAGGAGCACTAAACCAGAGCTTCATCATCCTCAGTTTTGCCACAGCCCACAGCCAGAAACCAGGACTTAGTAGGTCATCAATTAATTTCTATTGAGGAGCTTCTGTCTTCTAAGAACTAGGTAGGAGGTGTTAAGGCCCATAGGTATGGAAAAGAATCAGGATCAAAACAGCAGGAGAGGATTTATGAAAACAGTGAAATACCAAGTACCAAGAGAAAAGAATTTTGTTTTCTAGATATATTATCTTCTGAGAATTATTTCTGTTGTTTTGGTGTCCAATTTCCTTCCCCTCCCACTCCCTGTCTTTCAATTCAATAGTTATTTATGGCCAGAGCACAAATGAGAGCACAGAGAGTACTTGTCATTTACTCCTTCCAAGGTGCTTAACCACTGTGATTGAGAAACCTGCAACTTCCCTTTTCCCAGGTTTTGAAATAATTCCAGAGGGCTTCTGGGCAGGCAGTGAATAATTTTCAAGTGCTTTTCTCTTCCTCCATATTATGTCTGTTCTGAACTGTCCCAACCACAGCACATTTATAATTAGATGCACTCATGCTACTCTGCTCACGAGAAAGTTTTGCATGTGCAAATCTGGTTCCTGGAACCCTCTTTGCTGTTCTTTCTCTGTAGTGCAGTCAGCTCAGCAGATATTTCAGCACCAAAGATGTTGGGATCAAGGTCTGGAGACTCAAGTGCTAGTCTTGCCTCAAAGAAGGATTTCAGGCTAAGGCCAGTAGCAAAGGCTCAGTTAGGCATGTTGTTTGCAGAGTACCCTAATGCACCGCTCTTGACATTGTGCTTGTTCATGCATGTCCATGAAACATACCTGGCAAAACCATGTCCTATGGAGTCACTGAGGTTCAAGAAGGCCTCCAAGATCATCAGACCCAACCTTTGATGGAACACCAGCTTGTTGACTGGCACTAAGTGCCACATTCAGTAATTTCTTGAAGACCCCAAGGGATGGTGACTCCACCACCTCATTCAACAGTCCATGCCAATGCTTAACAAGGCTTTCTGTGGAGAAATTCTTCCTTATGTCCAACCAGATTCTCCCCTAGAACACCTTGAGGTCATTTCCTCTCATGCTGGTTGCCTAGGAGAAGAGGCCAAGCCCTACCTCACTAGACACTCCTTTCAGGCAATGGTGGAGCACAACAAGGGCTCCCTGAGACCTTCTTTTCTCCAGGCTAACCACCCCCAGTCACTCCTCATGTGCCTTATACACAAGGCACTTCATATGATTTACATACACATGACTGCCTTTCTTTACGTAGCTCTTTTTATACCTGGTAGACCTGCACCCTGATTTGGATGCTCATTTTCTAACTGAATCAGACAGATATTGGGACACCTGATACTTAGCAAACTTGGTACATTTTGACAGGATTGTACTAACCTTATTAGCACAGTATTGCACAGACAGACCATCTGCTGTTTGATGCTTCTGCAAAACTCAAAAGTAAAACCTTTATACACATAAATAGTCTAAGCAGTATTACAATAAGACCTACACGGATACAAAGACATACCTGCACCATTCTTTGTAAATTACCTTTAAACACATGCAGCGTTGTCCAGAATCACAAGCTTGAGCTGATTTGAAAGCTTAGAAATACACACAAAGAAGTCTGAGTCCACCTACAAACATCCACAGTTATTCCAAGGCAGAATCTCACCTATCCTAGAGGTCAGCAGGAGTTTTCCCTTTCATTCCATACGGGAAAAGGTGATGCAGCCTTATCCTGCCAGCTATTGATTAAAGCAGCAAGGCTTTCCCTGGTCTTTTTCAGTGCCTTTAGAATGTTTAATCCCAATGAGATCACAGGTAAGTTTTGCAAAGAGAAAGCTAAACCACTTTTTTTCCACTACAGATGTATTTTTATTTCTATTTATATAATTTTAATCATATAAAGAGTGATATAAGCATTATTATAGTACTTCATATTGAGAAAGGAACTTACAGTCACTCTTCCATATAAATTAGCAATATAGATCAAAATATTTGAAGTAATTAATGTTTCCTGTTACTCCTAGGCTAGGCAGGCTTTACCTGCCTAGGGGTACTTATGTTCTTATTTTGAGCTAATTTATATGAATGATGGAAATAAATTGGTATGTCTCACTGCATTCCTCCTAACTATGGTCTCATATTCCAACACTTAAAAATAGTTGATTAGCAAGGTTACATGATTAATGATACATGATTACCATCATCACACATTCATAATAAATAGTATTGCTTGAAGTAACTTAAAAATTAAATAATCCTGGTACAGCAAATAAAGCTTCAGCTACAGCAAATAAAGCTTCACCAGCCCTTTCTATAATCTTGAAAAAAAGAAACTACAAAAAGCAAGTTCATGAAAAACATCTATGTTTATGGTTATGGGAGAACTACTAGAGAAAAAAGCGACCCACACAGATCATGTAGTAAACACATCCAAGATCAACAGAAGAGCACAAAAGTGTCCAATTAAAAAACATGAAACCAAAAAAACCCCACAGAAGAGTTAAGATAATGGTCTAATGCTAGCTACATTTGAGCTTGCAATAGATAAATTGACAGCTTGTAAAAGTCAATAGAGGAACCCTTCTTCCTCTGTGCTTGCTCTACTTTTAGATCTTGCTTGTTTATTTGAAGAAGCTAACCTTACCAGAGGCATAAAACTGACTAGGTGGATGAGGAAATTGGTAAAATCAGGAGTGTTAAAGTTCTTCCTCAGACCCACACAGTATTTACTTACACCTGTAAATCAATCTCATCTTACTACATGAAGATAACAAATGCTTTCATTCTGTTGTTAAAAACATTAATTGTACTGATTTCAGCTCTCCAGTCACTTCTAATAGAACAGATGTAGAGAAAGCAACACTCCCACCATCATTGCATATGAGTAAAGGAAAAAATTACTTAAGCTATTTAACGAATTTCTACATAACCAGCTTGTGTTCATATTGGAGACATTTCAATGCTTTGGAGTGTTTTTTATTCGTTTATTTTCAGTTAATAACCCAGATGCACCTGAATGAACACTTCAGACTCATAAATGTCATCACCTCCCGGTGCATTTCTTTTTCAATACTCAAGTATTGTAGAGCTACTCTTCAGTATCAAAGGATGCAGAATAACACCTGATTGGACCCAAAATGAAACTGTTGATTTTCAAAGTAATAATGAAGAAGAAAGTTAATATCCACCCCTCAGCTCAAAGTACTTACTCGATCTACAGGTGTTAGTACTACCTGGTACAGAAAGATCTTATGCTGGATCCAGCATAAGATTTTCAGTCACTGTCCAAAAATTGTGCAAGTGAATAAAAACTCTTCCTTTTAATGTCCCATGAATTTTGAAAGAAGCTTGACATCTAGGCAGATGTTTATACACAGAGTCAGACAGTTTGCATTGCAAAAATAAGTTCTTAAATTGTAATATCATTAGGGAAATCATCTCCCCTTTTTGGAGGCTGCAAATTATGAAACAATTCTTTCTAAATGTTGTTACTTTAGGTTAAATATATCTCCAAGATCTTTGGCCTGGTAATTCAGTAGGAATTGCATGGGAACCACATACTGAAAGATTTGAACATTGCTTTGTATTTTTAGAGTTGCTAAATAGGCACATGTACATGGCTATTACAGTGCTAAATAAAAAATTCTCTCCATGGTTTTGGAGATAAACTAGACTGAAATTGAAGCAAAACTATTCGGGTTCAAAAACACTTCATTATGCAATCTGATAAGCCCCAGAGACAGATGTCATGACTATGACAAAGTAAACCAAGCATAAGCACTTTTGAAGATTCAGTGAGGAATTTGAGTACATCTTTAGTACGTCAGAAAAAAATAGGACTTCTGAAGTGCTATACAACTACAGCAAAAATATCATTTCAGCATGTTTTAATGTTTTTCCTCTTGAAGAAAAAAAACCCTAGCTTGCTAAGAATGCAAAACCAAAGCACACAGATGATGGAGTTTGTAAAGGTTCTACTATACAAACTGCCAGTACAGACAAACTTTTCTAGACAATGAGTTGCCCGTACGTTCAAACCATACACTTTATAGTTTGAAAAGAAATTTGACAATCCAATTGTGTAAAGTAACTAAACACACGCCAATTTGTAGAACTGAAGCATGAAAGTTTCAGTATGCAATTCCCA